AGTGGCGGACCGTAGGGTAAATTGCAGGGTATGCTAGGTATTGGCATATCTAGGATGTACAAGGGGCCGCACGTCCTCCCCCTACCCCTGAAAAAAAATACTCGCCCATCCCACAAATCATGCTCAAGTAATTAAAAATCACCTCATATCACCTTATTTTGCGAGTTATCCCCTATGGGCTAAATAAAACGGAGAAACTGTACTACTATGTTGTTTTCATTTGTTTTAGCCAGGGTATGCACTGCATACCTTGCTTGCCTTGACGGTCCGCCACTGTATATAAACATAAATACATATTCCACAATCATGAAAATAATCAAATCAATTCGATCGCTGGGGGCGCTGTTTTAAATGCATTGTATACGACGACCTGGAGAATCTAGGCTAGATGGATTTACAGGGAGGTTTTATACCTCCCTGGATTCATTTATGGTCCATAAACACCGAGACTTCATTCACTGCTGAAACCCTTGTTAAACTTCCGTTCAGACGGTTGGGAAGCAAGCAAGTCTGTGTTACGCGTTGTAAGGCTTTCTTTCTTTGCTGATGAGATACTCTCCTTTGGTGTTGGCTCAGGTCGCTGCTGATTTCTGTTAGATCTACTGACTGTTTATATAACATTCAACAAGGTAGGCCTATAGTATTCTTTACAATCAATGTTTTTCTTAACTTAATAGTTTTTTTTTGTGTTTTTTTTTGTATTCGTTATTCAAATTCCATCAACATAGTTCAACGTTAAGGTAACACGTTACCGGCAAGGTACCGGTAACTCATTTTATAGGCCTATTCTTGGTTATTGATTTCAGTAATTTTTTGAGCTTGAATCTTTTAGGCCACATTCCCTTGATAATTTGTTGTTTAATAAGGCATTAAATCAGAAAGGAAATCAAATCGTCAGTCTATGGGCCTAATTCATTTGAAGTCAATGTAAGGGATTTTTTTGTAAAGGAAATTCGGTGGATTAAGTTTTTATTAGCCCAAATAATAAGCCTATATAATATTAAATTGTAATTCGAATATTACCACAGTGAGGGAAATATGAGGGATGCAAAAACCCTCTATACTGTAAAACAGAGAGGATGTTTTATATGATGAAACTGGTGAATATATTCAATCAAAAATCGCCTTCTGCGAATTAATAAAAAAAAACAGTCTCAATACAGTATTACATAAAGTAAACTGGTAATT